ATATTTAGATTCTTATTATCTTCAACATCTGCTTCTCCTTTAACTAGTGAGGTGTGTGTCATTAGGAGGTCAGTTATATATATATATATATATATTTAAGGGTTTAAGCTAATAATATATTTAGAAAATAACTTCCTTTCAGCTCCCTAGCTTTCTTAGCTATATAGAGGCCTATAGGCTTCTAGTCTGCTTAAAAGATAAGGTCTATATTTAGCCTAAGGAGATAGAGGACCACCTTAAAGCCCATTTTACTAAGCATGAAATAGAAGAGGGCCAATATTATTCTAATATAAATAGGCTAGATATTGGCTCTATTCATAAGACCCATGAGCTAATTAGGGCTAATAAGCCTATAAACCCTATAAAAAGTCTTAAAACTAAAGTTATTAATAGTTTTAAATGTATTCTCTGCCATTTATTAATTTCAGTTAAATATAAGCTAAGACCCTATATTAGGCAAAAACATAAAGGGCAAAGTCAAAATACCCTAAGCCTATTTAAGAAGGTCCAAATCCAGTCCCTTTTAGATAAGTCTTATTTCTTTAAGGTTACTAAGCCTAAGCCTACTATCCCTATTAGGGTTAGTATCTCTAGAGACCCTAACCCTAATCAGGAGGGTTTAGTAGAGGATTTTCTAGCTAAATTCTATGAATTTAAGCAGGGGCTGAGTGAAGATAGGGTTTTTAGAGCTAATAGCTCTAGAGATAAGTCATCTGCCTTTCATAATCAGTCTAGATATCCTGAATATCTTTATTATAAGGATCTAGGCCTATTAAAGGGTTTATTCACTCTAGAGACTAGCCCTAATCAGCTAGAGGAGTTTCTATTTCACTGCCTTAATTACCTATTTTAGAAAGGTGAATTAAGAATAAGGTCTTTAAAGAGGTATTCTAGACTAGTTCTTAATTCCTTCTCTTTAGATAAAATATCTATTAAGCCTTTTAGGCTTCTTCAAGAGAAGGCTAGTCAGCAAAAATATATTAGGGTGTTTAGAGCTTTTATTATCTTTTTAATAAATAGCTTTAAATTAGAGCTGACTAGTACCCCTAATAGGACCCCTCAGAATCCTTTATTCACTTTAAATACCTCTGATATTCACTATTTAGAGAGGATTATCTCCCTTCTTCAAACCCTAAGCCCTAGAGACAGCCCTAACCCTAGGGCTAGAAGGGGCCCTAACCCTAATACTACTAGTAATAGGCCTAGGTGGGATAATAATCTAGTAGAGGACTCTGATAAGGAGCTTGAGCCTAATAAGGTCCCTAGTAATAATGAGGATGAATCTGACTAATTAGATGAATCCTATATATATAAAGGGTCTCATTCACTAGATCAAGTGAAAATCGGGTCTCAACTCATTCAGAAGCTTTTTAGGGGCTTAATTAAGACTAAATCTAGTGAATCCTTTAATTCACCTATCTATGCATTTTTCGCATGTTTTAGTATGAATTATAGGCAGGGTCATTTTAAGGCAGTGAATGTGATTACCCAGATCTACTCTGCTTTTATATATAGTAGTCAGATTCTTATTCTTGAATATGTATATATATATTTTCAAGAGTCTGATCTGGAGGGTCAGGTGACTTTCTCTGATTTTCTTTATAATTATATAAAGGAGTGGGTCATTAACCAATCAGAGAGCCCCCTAGGAGATATATTAGCCCTACGAGCCTATAGGTTTAGGGTTAGTAAGATGACTAGTGGTCTTGGTTAAGAGGTTCTAGAAATAAGGCCTAATAAGCTTAAATTTAAAGGCTTATTAGTATCTCAGTCAGCTCTTAGAGACTTTTTTAAAGTCACTATTCAAGAGCTTAGCAATCAGCTGACTAGAGACTTATTTCTAGATTTTGACTATTTCTTAGAGCTTCAACCTCATATATCTCTAGAGGGGGCTAGTGAATATGAAGAATTCACTAATATAACCTATCAGTTCTATTTTCTTTCAAACTATCATGAAGCCCCTTTCTTTAAGGACTTCCTAATTAAGAAGGTTCTAGGCCCAGACCTTTTTAGTGAATGGTTTCAAGTGAATAGCACTAGTAGCCCACCTAAAGTTAAAATTCAAAGGCCTAAGGCTAAATCATTTCTAGAGAAGGCTAGTGACTTCCTAAAAAGGCTATTAGCCCTATATCACATGACTAGTGGGGCGCCTGCTAGAGGTACTGAGATTAATCAGATCCTCTTTAGGAATACTAGGGTTAGGGCTAGGAACCTCTTCTTAGACCCTCAAAGTCACTTATTCATTATTAGACTCAGCTATAGTAAAACCTTTAGCTTAACTAATATTAAAAAAGAGGTAGTTAGGGTTATTCCACATACCCTATCCTATATCTTACTAGCCTATCTACTAGTGATTGAGCCTTTTATTGAATTTTTAACTATTCAACTTTCTCAGAAGCTGACTAGGGGGTCTGAGCTCTTATTCTTTAACCCTAACCCTAATAGGAATCAGGTTTTTAAATCTTAGGAACTCTCTCATTCACTCAAATATCTTAGTAGGCAAAAAATGGGTCAGTCTATTAATTTAAGCTCCTGGCG